GTTAACCAAGCAAGCAAGCACCATCATCTCACATTCCCAGGTGAGATTTGTTAGGTTCTCATGTGAGCTCAGGTAAATGTATATTTTCCATGACCTCTGAACATTCCTATAGTAACTATTAGCCTCTCAGACTCACCTGAGAGTTAAAAGGAAAGTCTCCTGGTAGGAGTTTGAATTACTTCTTGGATGGCTGATGACTGAGACTGAAATTATTTCCCAGCCAAGACACAAGAAAGGAGCAAAGTATCACTTTACAAGCCAGCTTAGGAATCAAGGCAATTACCATGTCTGCCCAGGCCCAAGTAGAGATGCTGAGTGAAGTCTACTAGTCAGTACATTTCTCTCTGGCTATTCTAACAACACTGTAATATATATTCTTGGCAGTACACTTCTGTTTGGTACCCATCTCAGGCTGGGCAAGTTCATCTATAGTTTTTGCAGGCAAAAAGATAATTTTAGAGATTTTCAGGAGATTTTACAGGCCTTTAATGCTGAACCAGGGACCAGACAGCTTTCTCTCCATTTTTTCTCTGACTGTCTTTTCTCTCCATCTTCCGCCCTCTCAGTGATGCCACACTTACATGCACTCACCACGGGTGTACCCACTTATACCTATGCATGCTCGGTGTTCTCTGGGCCCAAGTATCATAATGAAAGATGCGTGAACATGACCATAGGTGCCAGTCACAGATGCTAACAGGCTTAAAAAGGCCTGTAACTTCATTTAACTAGCCTATGAAGAATGAATTTTTCCCTCCTGCCAGTGATTTACTCCTAAAGGATCAAGTAAAGGTGAAATAAACACAGGTATTTATTTTAGTCTTTGTCTCCTAATTTTCTTTGTATAGGTCATTTATTTTCTGCGATAAGTTCATTCTCAGGTATTTTAGCCTTTTTGGAGTGACAATAAATAGCATTGTCTTCCTAATTTCTTTTGATGAATTGTTTGCATGTAGAAATAACCATATATAAAAAAGTGGTTCCTGCCACTTTATTATTTATCATAATAATTTTTTTGGATTTTCTATGTAAATTATGATGTCATCATCAAGTAGCAATGTTTTGCTTTTCCAATTTGAAATCCTTTTGCATCTTTTTTGTTTAATTGTTCTGAATGTGACTTCTAATACTTCGTTGGACATTATTGGTAAAAGTGACCATCCTGGCCTTTGTTCTTGATCTTATGGGAATGTTTTTAGCACTTATCATTAACTATTATGTTATCTATGGCTTTGTCATATGTAGCCTTATTATACAAGATAAATTTCTACTATTACCATTTTATTGTCTTTATCATAAATGTTTATCAATCTCATTTTTTTAAAGATTTATTTATTCATGCATACAGAACTAGAGTACAAGCCAGAGGCTCAGGGGTGGTGAGAGGATTCACCACACACAGAGTGGGGAGCAGAACAGGCAGATCAATGAAGTACACTGCTGAGGGGAGCAGCAGGCAGACAGGAGAGGTCTGCTGTGCTATGTGGTCAGCTCCAGGACAGGGAATCAAACTCACACTGAAGCAGCTGCCACTAGCTTGCAATGCTATGTCCTAACCATTATGCCAACAGGGAGGGTCATGTCTGTCAATCTTCTAAAATGATTTTTCAGTGTCTATTGAAATGATCATTATTTTTTCTTTTTGTTGTTGTGGTGAATGGCATTGATTGGCTTAAATATGTTGAATGACCCTTATACCCATGAGAAAATCCCACTTGATCACATGATTCTTTTGATATTTACTTGTACTTGATTTATTAAACTTTGATGAGTATTTTTGCATCTATGTTCGTCAGAGATATTAATGTACAGTTTTTGTTTGTGTGTATGTGGTATGTGTGTGTTTGTGTGTGTGTGTGTTCAGCCTTGTCTGGTTTTTGTATAATGGTAACATTAACCTCATAAAAGTTGTTTTGGTGTGTCCCCCTGACCCCTCGTTGTTTTGGAAGAGCACGAGAAAGATAGGTATCAGAACTTTTTGAAGTTTTGTGGAATTCACTGGCCTTGGATTATTTCATTTAGCCTTGAATTAATTCATTTAGCCTTGGATTATTGATCTCAGGATGTTTTTGTTATTGCTTTGATTTCTTTACTTTGGATTAGTCAGCTCAAGCTGTATATTTAATCCTAGTTTGGTCTTGAGAGGTTGTGTGGCTCTAAAATTGTATCTACCTTTTTTTGTAGTTTGTCCCAATTTTTTGCATAAAGATGTTCATAGTATTCTTTTATAATCCTTTGTATTTCTGTGATATGTGTTGTAACCTTCTTCACTGTTGGTTCTTTTGTGTTTTATCTTAGTGAGCATAGGTAAGGGTTTATCAGTTTTGTTAATACTTTCACATCACTGGCTCTTGGTTTCATTATCCTTTGTATGATCCTTTTTGTTTCTACATCTTTTTATTTTTGCTCTAATTTTTATTATTTCCTTCTACTTTGCTCTTCCTTTTATGGTTTCTTCAGTTTTAGAGCTTGTTTTTTGAGATTTTTCTTGTTTGTTTATGTGGTTCTGTTCTGCTATAAACTTTCCCCCTTGCTATCTGTTTTGCTGAATCCAATGAGATATGATAGCTTATAGTTTTATGATTTTTTTAAATTTCTCTTTTGATTTATTCTGTGACTTAAGATTCATTAGAGTGTTGTTCAGTTTTAGTTTATTACATATTCTTTATGTGACTGATTTCTGCTTCATACTATTGTGGTCAGAAAAGATATTTGGCATGATTTTGTACACCACATATGATCTGTTCTTGAGAATATTCCATGTGCAGCTCAGAAGAATTTGTGTTCATTTCTCTTTTGGAATGGAAGTTTCAATTTCAATATATGTCTACTAAGTTAAAAATTAGGAGCATTCGGGCCCTCCCAGGTGGCGCAGCGGGTTAAAGCACTGCACTGAGAAACTAAAGCCACTTCCACATGAGTTCGATACCCGCCTGCCCCGGAGGAGACCACATGGCGTGGCAGACCTCTCCTGACCCGCCTGCTGCTCCCCTCAACAGTGTACTTCGTAGATCTGCCTGTTCTGCTCCCCACTCTGTCTCTGGTGAAGCTTCTCACCGCCCCTGAGCCTCTGCCTGTACCCCAGTTCTGTATGCACGAATAAATAAATCTTTTTAAAAAAAAATTAGGAGCATTACTGTATTTACTTTATTTAAGTCCATTTTTCCTTGTTTAGTTTCAGTTTGGATAATATACACGATGTAGTCTTCCATTGAGGTCACCTACTATTATTGTGTTTCTTGTTAGTGTCTTGCTTTTTTGTCTATTAAGAGTTGGTTTGTGTATTTAAGTGCACCTGTATTGAGTATGTAACTATTAATGTCTGTTTGATCATTCTAGTGTCCATTTGTCTCTAATTATATTTTTAGCTTAAAGTATAATTTTTCAGAAATTTCAGAATAGATATTTCTGTTTTTTTCTTTGTATTGTCTTGAAATATCTTGTTCCAGATTTTGACTTTATATGTTTATGCTTATCATTGGCTTTGATGTAAGTCCCCCTGACACACAATCTGCATGCATCTTGCTTTCTTATCCACACTGCCATCCTGTGTCTTTTAGTTGGGACATCCAGACCACTCGTACGAGTGTGCTCAGCTCCCGCCATTCTTGTTTGCTTTCTGGTTGTTTTGTTTCTCTCTTGTTTCTATTCAATTTGGTCTATCTGGATGGTTTTTCCCAGTGATTCTCTCAATTTCTTCTTCAAAGTGTGTCTGCTCCATATTTTTGTTTTATCATTACCATGAGGGTTATATTAATGTTTTTATATCTATGTCTTTAGATATTGGTGACACTGTCATTTGAATGATAAATACTGAATTTTTTCTTTGTTTTTTGTTCTTTCATTTCAACCTTTTGAAATTTCTGATTCTTACTACTTATTCAGATCAATATTTTGTGTTGTTTGTTTTTTCTTGTCATGAAGCACCTACTATCAATGATGTATGGTGTGGGTAATAAAGTATCCTCTTGTGGTAAGTTGATGTACATGGATGAGATATTTTGATTTTTTCTGGATGTCTTTAAGTATATTTACTGATGTGGCTGACTCTATCATGATTTCTTGGTGTGTACAACTCAGTGTGTTTAAACAACTGTTTTCCTCTGCTTCTGGCCTCACCCACTGGTTTGTTTGTATCTTTCTCCCATTCTCCATCGTCAGAGCTACATTTCTAATTTCAACCTGGCTGGAGTCTTTATGAAATTAATTTTACATTCCACAGGAAAAGGACTCTTCCTTGTACATCTAGATGTTTGATATCCAGTATAACTTCTTTTTAACCTATGGTCTTTTCATTTAGGAAAGTGAATATCTTGAGTCATGTACCTGTGTTATACAAAACCTCAATCCTGCCTATTGCTCCCCTTCTCGTAGCTAAATAAGTGTATAATATATAGGGAAATTAGAGAATATGTTTCTTACAAACAGCTGATGGTGAGAATAAGAACAGGCGGAGGGGAATAGTAAAATAGTGCAGAATATATTATATAAAACTGTTTTCCATATTCTAAAATCAGGACTTAATAGAGAGCAAGAATTAGACTACAGTAATCAAATAAATTAGAATAAATTAAGCACAAAAAAATCAATGTATCATGCTTGTAAGTTTACATGTGCCAAATTAACCAAAATGATAGAAAACTGTGACAGTACATTTCCTTATGCAAAAAGTGTAACTTGTTCCATATGAGAAATAAAGCTGAGCAACACTTCAGTGAAATAGAAAATCTTGAGAAGTATGTTGTTTTAAAAGAAGTTACTCTCATGAAATCCATATTGTCTAATAAATAAATGGAAATTTCCAAATGTTTTTGATTGACAGTTGGAAAAAAAATGAGTAGGAAAATGGACAAAGTTAAAAAACTTACCACAGCAGCATAGTGTGCATAGCTCAAATTATATAGCAAGGTTGATTTCAAAAAGCAGAAATTCCAGTGAATATATAGAGTGAAGAAATTCAACAGTCACAATTCCTGACTCCAAGGGTTTTAGTTCTCTAATCATGGGAACTTCCTTTTCATGACATTTGATCCTTTCATAGATTCCTTCCCAATGAGTTTTTTCAGCGCCTCTTTTATGTCTTTGTTCCTCAGACTGTAGATGAAAGGGTTCAGCGTGGGTGTGACCACAGTGTACATCACCGACGCTGCTGAACTTGAGTGTGAATTGTGGGAGGCAATAGAGCTAAAGTACACTCCTAGTGTGGTACAATAAAACAAAAAGACAACTGAGAGGTGAGACACACAGGTAGAGAATGCTTTATATTTTCCCTGTGTTGATGATATTCCATGTATAGTGGACATAATTTTAGAGTAAGAGTAAAGTATACCAGCAAAAGGGCCAACACCAAATAGCCCATCTGCACAATACATCAAGATATCATTAACAAAGGTGTCAGAACAAGCAAGTTGGAACATCTGATTGATTTCGCAGAAAAAGTGTGGGATTTCCAGTTCCATGCAGAAGGATAATCGCAACACCATTAAGCTATGTGACAAGGAGTGCAGGGCACTAATGATCCAGGACAGCAGGACTAGCAGACCACACTGGCGGCGATGCATGATGAGCATGTAGTGTAGGGGATGGCAGATGGCCACATAGCGGTCATAGGCCATGACAGTCAGGAGAAAGTCATCCACCACTCCAAAGAATAATGCAAAATACATTTGTGAGATGCAACCTTCATAAGTTATGAATTTGCTCTGTGTTTGTATATTCAATAGTGTCTTAGGGATTGTTGTTGAGGTGAAACATATGTCTACAAAAGACAAGTTGGAAAGGAAGAAATACATGGGTGTGTGTAAGTGAGAGTCTGAGATTGTGGCTAGGATGATGAGTACATTCCCAAACACAGTGATTAGGTACATGCAAAGAAAAAGTCCATAAATGAGAGGCTGTAGTTCTGGTTCCTTCGATAATCCCATGAGATAAAATTTTGTAACCCATGTGTGATTTTCTAGTATCATGTAGTGATATTTATGACTAGAAATGAAAAAAGAATAATTAATGTTTACAAATTGAAATGCTAAAAATTTATTATTCAGTCAATAAATCTATTATATCTTTATCATCTATGTATGTATCTAACTAATCTATTTCTCTGTGTGTGTATAAATCAACCACCTTTAAATGGTCTTCCACATCATCTCTTTCTGTCCCATTCATTCTTTTCTCCCAAGAGGCAATACATTTTAGTGTTTTAATAAAAATTCTTTCATGAATTTGAAGAAAATAGTCTGAGTCCTGGCTTAATCTTGAAAAAAAAAAAAAGCAATTGAATCAACAAAGACAAAGCAACAAAATGAAAAATAAAAGATTTCTTTAAAAGTAACAGTATTTTAAATGATCTCTGAGATGTCACTAGTGAATAAGAGTCTCATTAGAAAGGCCCAGGAGGTTAAGAGAAGAAAGGTCAGAAAAACATTTGAGGAAATGCTGGTTGCACAAGTCCCTAAGATGATGAAGGAAACAGACATCTAAGTATACAAAATCCAGTGAGTACCAAATAAGATAAACTCAAAGAGATTCAGAACAAAACACATTATTACAAAAACAGTAAAATTTGGAGATTGAGGATCTTAAAAAGTAGGATGGAAAAATGACTTTTTGCTATCAGCATTTTCCAATAGAATCTTTAGAGGTCAGGAAGAGTGTTATGACAGATTCAATGTATTAAAACAGTCAAACTTCCAACCAAGAACATATTTAAAATTGAAATTGCAAAGAGAGTTCAAGAGCTTCACAAATAAGAAAAACAGAAGTTCATTACCAATAAACTGAAATTGCAACACATTAACACATTATATAAACTGAAAGGAAATGGTACTAACAAGAAAGCATCAAAAAAATCTCACCAGAAAAGATCAACATATATTAACAATTAGTGAATCAATCACTTATCAACCAAGCCTGAGTGCAAAAAATAAAAGTAGTAAAATAGTTCAAAAATGAATAAATGTAAGGATCAAAAATGCAAAGCTTTTGAATATGATTAAATATAAGTAGTTATCAACTCAAAATAACTGTTGTATACTAATGAAGTTATACTTGACTTTCATGATAACCACAAGTCAAAAATGTGCAGTAAATACACAAAGGAATAGTGAGAGGAAGGTATTCACACCACTGAAGAAAGCCATCAGATATCAAGGGAAGAGAGAAAAAAGAAGAGGGAACAAAGAGGAACTATGACTGTCACCAGAGAAAAAATGGACAAAATGGCAATGCATGTTACCTTTCTATAGTTGTTTTAAATGTAAATGGATTAATTTTCCAACCATAAGACATAAAATGGCTAAATAAATAAAAGCAAAACAAAAGCCAACTATAAGTTGCATACAAAACTCACTTCAGGGTTAAGGACACAAAAAAATTGAGAATAAAAGGGTAGGAAAAAAGTCCATATAAATGGAATAAAAAAGGGAGTTGGTATAATTATACTCAAAAAAGACAAAATAGTCTTTAATAATAGGACTGCAATGGAAGACAGAGATGGGCATTATAATCATGCTCCAACATAGGAGCATGAAAATATATGAGACAAACTCAACAGACTTCAAGGGGAAAATTACAATATATTAACAATAAGAGATTTAGTGTCCCCTCCATTATCAAAGGGTCTATAATCTAGACAGAAAATTGACAAGGCAACATCAATATTAAAGGAAAATGTTTAAAATGGTACTGTTTATGATGATGTAACTTGGGGCAATCACTTATATGATTTAGGGATATGGGCTCACAATTCTAGATGTCAGCACACCATACTTACTGCCCAAAGCAACCATAATTCTCCACCATATTCCACTGGGCCACATTCTCAATATAGGCTCCATTTCTAGTTTTTTGCTCAATATTTTCAGTTCTCCAGTTAGATTTCAAGGGTTATTTTGGTTTGGATTTGTCGGTTCCTTTGACTGGTTTCTTTGTATTTCATATGTGAGTGCAAACATCTGATATTTGTCTTTCTCCTTGTCAATTACTTCAATTAGCATAATACTCTCCAGTTCCATCACACTTTATGCTTTTAAAAGAATGGCTCAGTAGGAAAACAGAACTCTCCTGCACTGCTGGGGGGAATGCAAACTAGTACAACCACTATGGAAAACTGTCTGGCGGTTCCTCAAACTGGAGCTTCCCTACGACTCAGCAATCCCACTCCTAGATGTCTACCCAAAAGACACAAAAACACTAATTGAAAAAGATACCTGCACCCCCATGTTTATTGCTGCTTGATTTACAATTGGAAAAACATGGAAGCAGCCCAAATGCCCAAAAGTAGATGACTGGATTAAAAAGATGTGGTACATATACACAATGGAATATTACTCAGCAACCAAAAACAGAAACACATGTCTTTTGCAGCAACTTGGATGGAGCTGGAAAAGATCATGCTTAGTGAGATAAGCCAGAAAGAGAAAGAAAAATACTGGATGGTTTCACTCATAGCAAGACCAGGCGAGAAAATAACAAACAATGAACAACCATATACCAGAGACATTTTGCGGGTGTGGAGTGGGGAATGGGATCAAAAACGGGGGTTGGGGAGGGAAGTGCACGGGATTATGGTGATGGCACACCGGTGACTTGGTGATGGGAAACCCGCGGGGATTGCAATTGAGATGGAAAAAAATGTACAAAATGATGTAAAAATAAACTGTAATAAAATAAAATAAATAAATAACCCCCCCCCCCACCAAAAAGAATGGCTCAGTATGGCTCAGCTAGTATTTCTTTATGTACATATATCACATGTTCTGTATCCATTCACCTGTCCCTGGGCACTTAGGTTGTTTTCATGAGTTGGCTATTATAAATAGTGTTCCTCAAAGAAAAGAGTGCAATGTCCCTTTGATTTAGTGCCTTTGCACTCTTTTGGCAGACACACAGGAGTGGAATTGTGGAACTGTATGGTAGATCTGTTTGTAACATTGAAACTTCCATACTGTTTATCAGAAGGGGTGGACCAGTATACATTACTACCAACATTTCATGAAGACTTCTTTAGCTCCACACACTCTCAACACTGTTTCTGGTCTTTTGATATGTCCATTTTTGAGGGTGTGATGGGATATGTCATTCTGCTTGTTTGCTTTTCATGATAAACTGTGATGAGCAATTTTTCACCTGTTAGCCTTTTGCATGTCTTCTTAGGATAAATGTCTATTTAGCTCTTCTGTCCATATTTTGATTAACTTATTTTTTCCCATTGGTTGAATTGAATGAGTTCTTTATGTGCCTTGATTATTTCTCCTTTTTAAGTACCTTTTCAGATGTTCAAATATTTATTACCTATTTGGGTTTTTTTTTTTCATTTTAATGAGCATTTCTATAAAAAGCAGAATCTTTTTATTTTGATTTAGTCCTATTTGTTTCATTTGCTTCTGTTTCCTTCTCCAAAGCACTGGAAGCCAATGTTGCTAAGTGTTTTGTCTTTATTACTCATGTGTGCATTTTATGGTTTCAGGCCTTATATCTCAGTATTTAATCCATTTTGAGTTAATTATTACTTTACATGCTTTGAGATAGTAGTTTAGTTTCATTATTTTGTATATGGTTGTCCAGTTTTCCAGCACCATTTATTGAAGAATCTTGATCCATTGTATAGTTTTTGATTGTTATTTAAATGGATAAGTATATGTTTAATTTTTGGGTTCTGATCTATTCTGTTGGTCTCTGAGTCTAGTTTTTAGTCCAGTGCCAAACTTTTTTGATTATTTTAGCTTTAAGTCAAAGTTAGGAATGTGATATTCTTCTTTTCTTTTCTTTTCTTTTTTAGCATTTCTGTGGCTATTCAGAATATTTTGTGATTCTATGTTAGTTTTAAGGATGATTGCTCTATTTCTTTGTGAATGCCAGTTGAGAGAAACAGTTGAGAGACATTGCACTAAATCTGTACATTGCTTTGGCTAAGGTAACCATTTTAAGAATACTAATTCTCCCAGTAAGGATAGTTAACATCTTTCCATTTCTTTATGTCTTCTTTTAATTATTTTAACAAAGCCTTATGGTTAGTTATGCACCTCTTTGCCATCTTTATACATAGGTGTAAAATCTTTTTGATGTTCAATACTCTGTTGTCAGTAAATTAAAATATTGGTCTGATCTTCTCATGTTCATGACTAGATTTGAGCAAAATAAATTAAAAAAAACCAAAACACCAAAAACACAAGAACTAAATATATTTCTTTTAAAAAAAATACAGATCTCCAAAAGACATATGAAATATTCGTCATCACTCACCAAAAGCAAATCAAAATCACAATAAGATATCTGCTCATACTTGTGAGAATGACCCTCATGAGGAAGACTTGAAAGAAGTGTTGAGAGTATTTAGAGAAAAAGGGTCCTTCATTTACTGTTGGTGTGTCAATGTTGACATGGTTCAACCTCTATGGAAACCAATGTGGTGTAATCTCAAAATATTACAAATGAGACTACCATTTGTATATATCTGAATAATGGAAAAACACTAACAAGAGATATGTGCACTCCTATGTTCAGTAAAGGATTATTTGTAACAGTCAGTTTGTGGAAGTAATATAAGTGCCCTGTGACAGATTAATGAATAAAGAAGATAGTGTACATATAAAAAAGGAATAGCTCAGCTAAAAGAAGGTGAAACCTTGTCATTTTTGCCAATGTAGGTGGACCTGGAGGGAATTATGCTAAGCCAAATAACTCAGAAGACAAATACTAGATAATTTTACTCACATGCAGAAATATAATATACAAAAACAGAAAAAAAAAAAAAAAAGTAAACCCCAGATCTGACTTTAGAACTGGTGTTACCCTGAGGGAGGATCCGGAGTAAGGTGTGAAAGGGACTCAATGGACTATGCTGAGTATGGTAAGTCAGAAAGTGGAAAATAGCTTCTGCATTATTTATTTCATATATATATATATATAACATATATATTACATATATATGTATACTACATGTTATATATATGTATGTATTACATAT